AAGGCTGGGAGCCGTTCTCAAGCCCCTACTACCCTATCCACCGATGGTTGGTGGCGTTTCGGGTTACTTTCTGGAAATGCCGGTTTGTTTAGTTTTTGTATTTTTTTAGGGGGAATGGGATTATTGATGCTGACCTTTTGACGTTGATAATTTCTTACGAATCACATTGCCTAAAAATTTAATCGGATTAATTTTTTAAAATGGAAGAGCATAGGAATGCGACTGGATGCATCGGAGAATAGTTATCCATTTAAACAGATTCATTGAAAATTTTTGTCTTCAGAAGATTTCATTGGCCATAGGAAATTTTGATTATTTCAGAAATTCGATTTCAATTTGACGGGGATGGGTGAGATGGTCGAACTGCCCGGCATAATGAACGCAATTCGATCGATCGTCAATCAACAGATGGCGAACATCTGTGTGCTACCCAATGAAGTGGTTGTGCCGCTTGCACCGAACGTCGACGTGACGAAACTCTATTTCCCGGAACCAGATGGCGTTGTTCGATTAAAAGTGATCGAAGCGAAGAATCTAGAGAATCGCGATATTGGTTTCTTGAAGAAAGGCAAAAGTGATCCATATTGCGAACTACAAGGTTAATGTTCGTTTTTTTGTGAAAGAGTTGGATCTCATCTTCATTGCGTTCAGTCGCTCATTCGAGAGTGATTTTCAAAATTGTGAAAGATTTTAATCATCCGTTGTATGGTGAGCCTTCTGCAAGCAGCTGATTCGTGCAATTTTCAAGTTGTTAGTTTGCGTATTTCTTTTCATCGTTTGCTGTCAACGAAACAAAGAAGGAAGGAAAGTTTTTTTTTTTTGCAGTCGGGTCGCAGTTTTTCAAAACACGAACGATCGATAACGATTTGAATCCGATCTGGAATGAGTACTTTGAAGCCATCGTGGATCAGGCAAGTGGGCAAAAATTGAGAATGGAGTTGTTCGATGAGGACACGGCTGGTAAGGATGAAGAGTTGGGTCGATTGAGTCTGGACATGGACACGATCAAGAAAGAAGGCGCCATTGATAAGTGGTTTCCGTTGGAAGGCTGTAAACATGGCGATATTCATCTTCAGGTTTTTGAAGATTTCCTTTTAAGTCGCATTTACATCAATATTGTAATTATTTTGCTTATGATTATTTGATATTGTTTCGATATTGACAATTGAGCAGTTTTCTTTCGCTTTAGCTATTTGGCCGCTTGGAATTGTTCAGAAGTATAAACTGAATGAATGAGGTGATTGTGCATAAAATAATTGAGTTAGTCGAGTTTAGGCCACCTGGTTGAATTTATCGAAGTCGACGCGAGATCTGGAACGTCAAGATTGGGAAACCGAATGGTTACGTGCCGACAAGCCCATTCATCCGGCGCTTTTGATGGTTTTCGTCGACGCTATCTCAGATCTACCTGTTTGTGTTTTGTTTTCATGTGATATCAATCTATTTTCGTTTGTAATTTACGTAAGCTGTTCAGCAGCCACTGTTCTAAGGAATCGTTATGTGTGTTCCAGTTTTATTTGGTCTCATTTGGTTTAGTCCAATGAATTGATTTGTTCTGATATGTAAACTGAATCTTGCTCGTCATAGATTTAGAATTGTTTCTCGTTTCCAGTATCCGAAAGCAAAACTGGAACCATCGCCGTTCGTTGAGGTTCGACTCGGGCAGCGAACGCAAAAAACACCAGTCAAAGTTAAGACCGTGAATCCACTCTTCCAATCGAAGTTCTCCTTCTTCGTACGAAATCCGGAAGGACAAGATCTCATTATTGAGGTAGTAGATGTTGAAGATTTGTTATCGAACCTTTTTCATACGATTGGCACCGATGAGCACTATTGACTTTCTTTATTTTTAGAAAAAAGCTAGAATTTTTTTCCTATCGCATTCCATCGATTCAATTCACATTTTCGCTCAGAATTCTCTTGTTCAGGAACTCAAGAAATTGCGTGAAGTTATAGAATTTTGAATTGG